GTGACTGATGGTGGAGAGCTCTGTCATTGGGACTATTAATAAAACACTGGCATATAGGTAAAGTGCATACCACCTTTAGGTGCTCACTAACATTGCCAGCCTAAAATGATATTCTTTAAGTATGTTTCAGTTGTCCTTCAGTACTTGTTTACATTGCATGTCTAAGGCTGTCTTCATCACCTGAAAATGCTTATTTGTATTCCAGGGAACTAGGGTAAGGTCATCTTGGAAGATCAGAAATTACATCTTGGACATCTAGGGCAAGAGCAACATAATATGTTAAAGAGAAGTAGGAAGCTTGTGATACTCTAGCAAGTGCATCTACTTGTAGAGAAGCTTAAGTTACTATAAGGACAAAGTGGTTAAGGAGTAATAAAAATGAAGCCATAAAAAATTAGCTGTTACTCGTAATTATAGGGCAAGTTAGAATTGGTGACATTTGGGGGCAGATCCAGCGGGCCAGCCACACTCCCACCTCCCCCCTTTCTGACCATGCAGCAGGAGCAGCAGTCAGGGACTTCTAACTTCCTGAAGAGGAGAAGAATTCCCACCAGCTTCCCCTGCCTGCTCAGAGACATGTCACCTCCCCTTCCATTTCCTTCTCCCTTGCCTACCATTGCTTCTGTCTCTGATGTCCAGAAGCAAGGGGAGCGCCTATCCTGCACCAGCTGGACTGTGTGGAGGCTGGCTTGAGTGCAAGGTCGTAGCAGGGATAGGCAGTTTCCCCCTCTCTTACCACAAGGTGTTCTGCAGCAGCCTAGGAGCAGGCACGGGGAGGCGGTAACTGCCCACTCACTGCTACTGTCCTGGGCTGAGCCCAACCCTGGTGCAGCCTGGCTAGAGCAGGAACAGAGCTCCATTTGCCCCTTAGACAGTAGGGACAGTGGCAGCAGGGGGGAAGGGGAAGGAAAAGACCTCTGAGCAAAAAGGGGAAGTGGGGGGAAATCCTTACCTGTATTTACAACTTCTGAACAGGGTGGAAGGGTGAAAAGAATTTAAAACAGCCCCTTGCATCATTCCAACCAATGTGAGCAGTTTATTGATTAACTGACAAAGCAGAATAACTGCAAGATTAGTGCTAAGAATAAATGTAATCTTACAGGACAGGTCTTGACTGCTGCAAAGGAAAGCTGGCCAGGCTCACAGTCTTCCCAGCAAGGGGTTCCTCCAGCTTATCCTGCAGGCAGGCAAACAGTATAGCAGGCATCATGTAGAAGTTCCTCCCAGCCTGTACCCACTATTTATACATGGCTGGTAAGCTTAATATTTAATAACATAATCTTAATATTTTAATAAATGATCCCTGATTGGTTTTATTTAGGTTTCTTTGTTTCACTGAAATTTCAAGAATCGGCTTAAACTAGATTTTTTTTATGGGCCAAGAAGGTGCCCATTAGTTAAAATTTGTATCTTTGAGAAAGTAACAGTGCAATAGGGGAGGGCTTCCTATCTCCTTTCTTCCATGGTAGAATGCTGTTCTAGCCCTGGCTAACAAGGCAGCCTTGTTCCTTCTGACTGTGTCCAATTAGACAGATGCACAGTTTTCCCTGTTCTGCTGACCAAGTCACAGCATCTGCAAATGCTCACATTTATACATCACTCAAAGACAAGCTTCAGGCCTGCTGTCACCCCTCAGCCGTAGGCGCCTTGAAAATGACCAAGCCTGGCATCAACATACCCATGGCTCATATCAGAGAGGGCTGCGTATGGCCTATACCTGTTTTGGGGACCTATTGTCCCTGACTGCCCCTGTAGTGTGGTCTGCCCACCTCAGTTGGAAGAGTGGAGAGGAGACAGGAAGCAGTGTGTACAGCCACCTCTGTGGTGCTGGTTGCTGCTGCTGTAACCCCTTTTGCAAAATCTTGGTCTACTTCAGATGTCACTGAATGTCTGACTTTGGTTTGCAGGTATCTCTGTATCGAAGCTAGACTTTGGGTGCACACTTCAGACTTAAGTTTTGTGTTCATGTAGAGTGCTTTATGTACATGCAAAGCCGTACATTGTTGCTTGGGCCTGTTTGAAAACCTGTTTCTCAATCCTAAAACATGAAGGTGCTTACTTGTTTAAAATGTTTAGTAGTCACATTTTACCTAGGATGTTTTAACACTGCCATATACAGAAGAAGTTATTTTACAGTGTGCATTAGCCAGGTTGCTCTGAGACTCATATTGACCAGCTGACACATGTTAAAGCAAACATTGCTCTGCCTGCACTAAGATTTTAAGATGTGTTGGCTAACATTTTAAAAAGTACCTTTTATCCTACCACTACTGAGAAGTAGCACTGCAGTTGTCATTTAAATGACAGCTCCCATTGCAAAACAATCCCACTTTCTGAATGGAGATACTAAAATAATGACAGGCATTTCTGAAAGCTCATTTTCTAATACATCATTAATTAGGATATGTATGTTCCAGGGAAGTACCATAAATCTCTGGAATTTTAATTTTAAGACAAAATTTGATGAAATGTCAAACTTCCATCAGATCAATCACTATCAGTCCTTTAATAAAGCATATTTTCTTTTTCCATCAAACTCACTGTTTTCTTCTTTCTAAATATCTGTATATTTGTTCATAGCTCTAGGTCCTAATTGGATTCAGTTGCATATGGTTTGAACCCAGTTGGTGGCCATTCTGTGTTAGGAAACTTGCAGTCTGGTTTAGTTTAACTGTGTTAGAGTTATAATTATGTTTTTAAAGCTGTTGTTACAGCAGGCTACAGAGGGCCCCTGTGATGCTGCTGCGACCGCAGGGGAAGGAAGGAAAATAGTGGCCTAATGAACTGGTTCAGGAGAAGGTTTAGGAATAGTTGTGCTTTAGAGAATAATATTATTGGAAGAAATTGCAGCTTTTCATAAGGGCTAAGTACAGACAGTCAAAAAACCCAAGGCTGAATCAATTCAGTCTTTGCAGGTTAGGCTAAACTGCGTAGACTGAACCAATAAGCAAGTGAACAGGCATTGATTTTTGATTCCTGAAATGCAGCCACATGCCTGCAGTGGCCCAGGCCAGAAGCTAAGGGGTGCTAAAGCACGCCTTCCTGCTCTGCTGGAGCAGACAGCTTGAGCCAAGGCTAGCCTGCCCAATATTCTTTGGGTAAAAAGAAGAATTAATTGTTACTCCCAGTCAAACCATTTGCAGTATTTAAAACTATCCATTAAACTACAAAGGTTTCAAACCATACATTTTGTGAACTTGTAAAATGAAGCATCTCATTGGCATCCATTAAATGATCACTTTTGTGATTTCTCTTCAGTCATATAGGCAGTTGATACAGTGAGTATTTCCTCTATGTAGTTATGAACTTTCTCCATAAAAGTTTATTTCCAGCACATTTAGAAAGTTTACAGATAAAATAGGGGGGAAAAATTGTATTTTGTTAATCTGTTTTAGGTTAATCTGCTGAATTAATAGATTCAGTTAGGATAAAAAAAACCTTGATGGCATATAAAAAAAAAAAAGAGTTTTTGTTTTTTAAAGAATAAAGAAAATTGCAGTGCCAGAAGAATAAATGGTTTTAAAAGTCATAGTTTTTATGGCAACAGATATCCATATATTTCAGAGTAAAAAATGTACTTTTCCTCTCCTGTCCATCACTGAAGTCACTCAGTGTCTGAAACCATACTTATTTCTGTCCTGTTTTTTTAACAGTCCAAAAACTTTGTTTGGTGTAAATGGGTACTTCTTCATCAACTTTATGCTCTGTGTCCAGTTTATGTCGGCAGAGAATCTGGCCTTACATCTTCAGCAAGGGCAGCTGCTGTGCAGCGACTTAACATAAATTGCTCATAAATCTTTGAGTGTCTTTGGAATTGTTAGATAGGCAGCCTCGTTGGAGTGTACTTCAAAAAAAAAAAAAAAAAAAAAAAAAAAGTTTGGCGGGGGTGATCTGCAGTGGGGATCATTCTGACCGACTGAGGAACTTCGCACTGATTTTCCAGGTGAATATACCCTCATAGGTATATCCAGCCAAGGGAGTTCATTTTATTCATGAATAATTAATGTTCTGTTGGAGAGATGGCCTGTAAGCAGATTTGTGAAAGCATCTCCTAAAGCCTCGTCCTCCGTTGCCTTTATTTACTAAGTCGTGCTGCCCTTTAGATTATCAATGCATATATTTACTGCAACAACATTTCTCTAATGTATTGGAGGAAAAAAATACTGCTTTCTTATGTGTGTTTTTTGTCTGTCTGCTTTTTTTGGGGGAAGGGGTTTCTTTAAGTTATATGCTTGGGAGAAGGTAAGTGTTGAAGAATGTTTGCAAAGATAAAAGACGTTCAGATACACTGCAAATGGAATAGGAGTCTGAACTCTTGTAGGGCTTAGTTAGACATACAATCACAAATAGGAAAAAATTACATTAATGTTTGTTATTTTTAGCAACATTTCACTCAGCAGTGTTGCTGCAATATTTCTCCTCTCCAAAGTGAAATACTTCTGTGCTGTGCTTTTCCTGTCTGACAAACCTTTTCTGATTATTTAAGAGAATCACTGTATTCCAGTAAAGACTGGTTGTTTTTTGAAAGAGATTCCAATAAGTTGGAATGAATTTATCGTGATATTTCTACAAACAGGTTGATAAAACTTGATAAAATAATTTCACAATAGGTTCATTGTCCAATGAATACTGTATTTAAATTGCAATATCCTTGTCACTACTTATCATTATGCCATTAGTTTATGGTATATAAGACTTAAGAAACTTGGATCGTTCTGTTATGTGAACCAAAATAAACTGCTGCATAAAGGTATGATGTGAGGTCTCTGTTTGCCTTAAAATTTATGCATGCTTATTAACAGAGCCTGAGCACTAATGATGAATTTGCACTGCATCTATAGCAGAACAGTTCATCTCTGCTGACAACAGAACTATGAATAATTTATAAACATAGTTATCCTGAAATTTGTGGAGGTCATTAGCATTTTAATGAAAAAGATACAGCTGTTGTACTAAATCTTTACTTTTTTGTTTTGTTTTGTTTTATTCTTCCCCCCCAGTTAAACATTTCGATCTTGTGCTTTGAAAACAGCTGACAACGTGTGGTAATGTGCTGACTGGCATTATGGGCAGACGATACCCAGGGGCTCACTATCGTCCAAGCAGCTCATGTATGTATGTGATTTGGTCTCATTATCTGTCATTTTTATTAGTTTGGAAGGCTGGCTAAATTCTGTATTGTTTATTTTAAAGGCATTTGTTGGAAAGTTTATAAATTCTAAAGTAGCCTTTACAGTGGGCACTGAAGCATTCTAATCAATGCCATGTTTCTGATATTTATAGACCAAAATTATATTACTCAGATTGCATTTATTGATGCATTCAAGCTGTTAAAATAATTTCTAGAACTTTAAAAATGATGTACAGACTGAGTGTACTCTGTTTTGTGTGCAAGACCTTCAACTTGCTTCTCTTTGTGCAACCCTGTGCCTGCAGCCTCCTCCTTCCCCACATAGCTGTACTTTAAGTACTAGAAATCTCAACATAGCTTGAAGCATAACACGAAAATAAATCAAGCTCCTTTCAACACTGTGCACTATAACTTTAATTGCTTACAAATGCAACTAACCGTTCTAGTTTATTATGGAATGTTTCCCTTCCCCTCTCCCCCTTAATTCAGCTTAGTACTTGTTTAAACTTTCTGTGTTTTCTCAGCTGAAAAGCAGTTTAGGGCCATTTGGCTATATTTCAGCTGACATGAGTAGGCTTATCTCTTCCTGAAGGATCTTTTCAGTAAAAACTGTAAATATACCATAAACTTTGTGGCTTGCACCTTTTACCTGGTTAGAAGGCCTGTTGGCAGCTGTCTGTACAGTTAGTGTGAATGGGAATCCCTGAGCCTGCAGGCTTGTTGTGTTACAAGGTAGGTGAAATGATCTTCCCTGGAGGAAGTGTGCGACATTCCCTGACTCCAGAGGAATGCCGTCAATCCCTGTGCTTAACTTTTGATACCTCACATCACTGAAGTAAACCTATAGCATTTTATTTACTGCATTGTGCCTCTGCGGTATATTTAGGAGCGATATTTCTTTGAAACATTGAGACAGTTTACGTGTCCTTATCTGTGATACTAGAGCTGGAACTTGACCTGGGTTATTTTTTTGGTCCCAGGCATCTAAAGGCTAAATTCAGGTCATGAATTATATTTTATTCTCCGGGGAAGGATAGCAATCTAATGCTTTTGTGTCAAAGGCTTATTGGAGGCAACACAAAAGTGGTACTTGATTTTGAAAGTAATATTGACATATAGGTGATACCCAAACTGGAGGAAGTGAGAGTTACAATCTTGGCTGCTGTATTGGAGTTGAGGACTAGGCAGTAGCAGGAGCCAGGACAGGAGCTAAGAGCTAGGCAACATAGGAACCGGGGCTGCGTCTGAGGGTGTAGGCAATTCAGGAACTGGTATAGGAGATGACAGACTAAATTTAGAAGCAGTTGGAGAATTGAGAAGAGCTAGAGGTTTTGGAGCACTGAACAGTTAACGCTTATCTTACAGGACTGGCTTTATGCTTTGGACATAACTGCCTGTGATTAACAGAGCAATTAGATATAGATGGTGCCATTCTGTGGTTAGGCAGCTCCTATCAGGTTTTAACCTGGGTTTGAGGCATTAACTTTACAACAGGTCTCTTACTCCCAGGTGGGAATTCCCTTCACTTCCCAGTCTCCCTGTCCTCACCAGAGCTCTCCCCTTGTGGGTGCTTTGTAGAACTTCTCCATTCATCAGTCTCATCACTCTGGGAGCCCTACCTATACTTTGCTTCTTGTCTTTTAACCAGGTCTTGATCCATGAAAGAAACTTCCCTCAAATCCTGTGGCAACTCGGGGTGGGGGGGAGGGGCAGGGGAAAGGGGTTGTTTTGGTTTTTTTAAAAGCATTTGCTGAGGGACCTTGTCAAAAACTTTTTGAAAATCCAAATATGTTGTCAGCTGGATTTTTCTTGTCTACATTCTTGTTAACACCCTCAAAGAAGACCAGGGCTAGGGACAGGGGTTTAGGTTGTAGCCGTGTTGGTCTAAGGACACAGGCAGACAAGGTTCCTTGGGTGAATTTGATATCTTTTATTAGACCAATCCAAATAGTTGGAGAATATTTCTTAAGCAAGCTTTCGGGTTCAAAAACCCTTCATTAGGCTAAGGAAGTTTCAGCAGTTGGTGTGTGCTCTTCCTGGATGGAATGAAAAGTAAACAAGCCAGGGGCTGGGCTGGGCTGGGCTGGGCTGGGGAGTCAGTTGCCAGGCAGATTATAATGTATCAAAAATCCAATGTCTATGTTTAGTCCAGACAAGGTTCCTTGGGTGAATTTGATATCTTTTATTAGACCAACCCAAATGGTTGGAGAATAGTTATTAAGCAAGCTTTCGGGTTCAAAAGCCCTTCGTCAGGCTAAGGAAGCTTCAGCAGTTGGTGTGTGCTCTTCTGGATGGAATAGAAAAGTAAACAAGCCAGGGGCTGGGCTGGGCTGGGCTGGG